AAGGTTTTAAGAGCCTTTGATCTCCTTATAGGTTAGATAGTAAGCGTCACACTTAGTATGGATAGGTTGTACAATATTTCTAACTATAGTGAAATCTATTTCATGTTGAAAGGGGATTGGAGTACTCTCGGACTGTAAGGGAAACCAGGATATATTCGATGTTATTTATTTTTCTGCATTTACCACTTTCATATTCATACATAAACCAGAAAAACAAGAACACCATCGCATAAAAGAATAAAAATATGCAATCCACTTCATTCAGCTCCGTCTCAGACGCACTTAAAAACCAACACCACTTTGTGTAGAACTTTATCTTCAGATGAACCATGGGGGCAAGGCGGTCAACTCGGCCAGCATTGATCTTCCCAGGACGCAGTTATAAAGGGATGGGAAGTCGACCACTAGAAAGAGGAATTTCACATGTCTGGCGGTTGTGTTTATCCCGAATGTGACTAGCAGCTCGATGTAGCCCCATGGCTTAGAGGTAGAGCCATAGAAGCCTTGTAGGTCGGTCCCCATGTATGGCGACAAGTGGGACCTGTCGAGTTATAGAGTCTGGAACATCTGAGTGTACATGACATAAATGGAACTCCCCTCGTCGACCAGGATGTGGTGCACATCGAAGTTGGTCATCTTTTCTTGCACGAGCAAAGGGATGTGGGAGTTGGGAGCTCCACCAGGAAATTCCTCGAGGTAAAGAAGATGGGCTCGAACTTCTCCAGAACCTCTCAAGGGTCACAGTCTAGACGGGGGTCACATCTATTAGCTCCTCAAATTTCCTTTTCATTGAATTCACAAAGAGAGTGTCGAATCCCCCATCAGAAATGACCATGGTGGAGATAAATTTCTCCCGGTAAATAAGAGCTCCTCGTCTTCGACGTCGCTGGGGATGTAGAAATCCTCGGGTCGCGGAACAGACAGGGCATCTTGGTGGAGGGCAGCTTCGTCAGAGGGGCGGGAATCTTCCTCGATCTTTATCACCTCGCGAGTGTTCAGGAGAGGTGCTTCATTCTTCTTGTATTTCCTGAGCCTCCCCGCCTTAATGAGAGTCTCAATAGCATCCTTCAAGTGGACGCAGTCTTCGGTAATAGTCGTGGCTCCGGTGGTACTAAGAATATTTTGTCTTGTCGACCCCGGGCTTGGAGGGTGAAGGTTTAGGAAGTTAGATCTCGCTGTCCCTTAATTCAGCATTATCACACTCGGTGAGGATGCGCTTGCAGGGAGCAGTCAAAGGAGTGTACTCTATAAAGCGCTCGACTGGTCCTTTATGCTCTCGAGGGTCACGAGGCTTTTCCTTCTCTTGTCCCCGGGTTGTCGGGATGATCCTACATCATTGTGCCTCGGGGCACTGGGTGCTCCGCGGTTTCCGGAGTCGCGAACATTATTGGCAGCCTCCTTCTCCTCATATGTGATGTAAGCCCCAATTTTATGGATGAGATGGTCGAACAACCTCGAAGGCTCGATACCAACTGCCTTATGAAAAAAATTTCCTGACAGAAGGCCTTTCTCAAGTAGATACCTCTTCATGCGATCGATAGTGGGGACTTGGATGGTCTCGCGGTTGAACCGAACAATGTATGCTCAGAGAGATTCGTCGGTTCCTTGGATGATTGCTTTGAGGGATGCCTATGTCTTTAGGTGACGTCAAGAAGCGGTAAAGCTACTGGAAAACTGGCTCTTTAGACTTCTCTAGGAATTGATGGATTCAAGGGCAAGGCCCTTGTACCAGTCCATAGCAGTTTTCCTCAAAGTCGTGGGGAATAACCTGCACTTGATGGCACCCCTAACATTATGGAATTGGAGCATCGCCTCGAAGGCGTCGATGTGGTCATCAGGATCCATCGAACCATCATAGTTATTCAGAGGTGGAGGTTTCTACATTCCCTTATGGATAGGTGCCTCCATAATGGCTTGGGACAGCAGACCGCGAGGGTCATCTTCATCGCTCTCCAATTCTAGGGACCGAGATGGGAGAAGTCATGGTGGTGTCTTCTGTGGCGAGGAGGACTCCTCGGCCGAGTTTTCTTCTCTTCTTTCCCCTTGTCCTTTTCAGGAGCTGGGGAATGTCTTCCCTTGCAGGGAGGGGTATGGTCATGCTTCTCGATGAGTTCGTGTTGGGTCCTCTCTAGTCTGGGGCGTCGCCCGATACAAAGGGGAGAAGGACTGCGAGAATCTCTCTATTGGTGTCTCCGCATAAGAGATCGTGAATATGGCTCATGTCATCGAGGAGATGGGGTGCGCGAGTCAGGCCTCCTATATCTTTTAGGGGACCTGTGGGTTTCAAGCATTGTAAGGCGTTCACCCTACGCGAAGAGCATGTAATTGGTGTGATTGAGCGTCGCAATCAGGGCCTGAGTTAAGGGGTCGGCATTAGCACGCACTAGGATTTCCTGATACATCGCGGGTTGCTCGACTTGCTGGTAAGGGTTATCCAATAGATGCAATCGAGCGGAGGAGGAATCATTTCTTCCATCTCTGAGGTCGTGCTCGTGGACGCCCATGTTGTTGTTGTTGTTACCTAGGTAGGCAAAGTGGGTGTTCTGGTCATCGTTGTTTGCTTGGGCGGCCATGATGATCGTGAGTCTAAATAAAGCTAACTCAGCTAAAAACAAGAAATAAAGCTAAGTCTAAATTTCTGTCGAGATACACTTCTTCAATATTTCGACAACTATACGATTTCGACACATAACATTTCAACGACAATAGACTCTGTCGAAATGGTGTTTTGACAAAAAGAATTACATTTTCAACAGTATATTATATATGAATTTAAAAAATAATGGAAAAAAGCTAAAGAATACATTATTTGTTTTTTTTCTAAAAATAGTTACTCATATATTTGAACTCCTTATAGGCTTTTCCACCTGGATGCTCTGGATGTGGCGATTGAGGCTAATGATGATGCACAGGTAGCACATCACAGATTATGTGCATTAAGGTCGTATTTCTTGTATCTGGTTGGCACATCCATATTTATGGACAAAAATTCATATTATATCAATGTCTTCTACGTGAGATACTTCATTGACTTAGAGATGATTAATGAGTACAGTTGAGGACCTTTGTTTGATTTACCTTTATTCTAAGATGTAATGTTTGTCTATGGAAGACTATACATATGACAACAAGCAACACACTATTTACAATAACATATTTGCACTTTTGTTGTCACTATTATTTCATAGCACATGTGATTCGTCTTACTAATATTTCATATGTATCATTTTTAGACATGGACCCTCCATCCTCAAGCACTTCCCACGCCTCTCTAATTGAGCATATATGAACAATTACCATGAGGATTTTCCATGTGCTTTCTCCTTCATCCCACTCAGAGGGAATCATGAAACGGATTCATTCAGAGTTTACCTTAACTACATCACGACATATAACATATACTTCACACCTTACGATGGTCACTGTGAGATACACCTTTTCGATAACATGTCCTTATATTATAAATGGTCGGCTTATGGGTCACGATTGATGTATCGACAACTACTTAAAAGAGTCATGCGCCAATTTAAATATTTGTAGGGTTTTCCTAGAACCTTCATTATTGTTGCTCCTCCCACAGTCCTTTGTAGAGATGTTGATGAAATATTTGTAGAGTACCTTGATCATCTAGTTCTATAGGATGTATGTGATGTGATAACTCCTGAGCCATGGAGTTCTGCATTCGACTATATCCAATGGTTTTTTAGAGTATCATGTCCTTACCTGATATTGGATGCATAAGGAGAGCCATATAAGTCATCTCATCAGGAGATATTAAAGGAGGATCAGGTTAGGGCAGATCATATTGTTGATGTGTTACATACTTTTCAATATATTATGGCCATTGGGCGAGCGTGTATAGAGAGATAGTAGAGTTTCTAGAAGGCACTTTTGAGAGTTCTACTATATAGGTCGTGCTAGTCGAGAATTAGAATGCCTTGTAATACATGAGGCAAAGAAGAATCGAGGGTCAGATATATCCAATAATTGACTTTTTCTTTGATTTTAATCATTTGTTTTTTTGGTTTTATTTTGTGAACAATGTAGGGCTTGTATTTTGATTGAATTAATATATGATATTTTAATTGAATTACATCAGTGTATGATTTGATTGAATTACATATGATATTTTGATTGTATTTTATATTGTTTGATTACATAAATATTGTCCCCGAGGAAAATTTAATGTCCTGAAAGTTAATACAAAAGTTAACATTTGTATTGTCCACAAATAATTCTTCAATAAACACATTTTCATAAATTCAAAATGTGTTCAGATGTATTAAGAAAGTTAACCTACAGACTCATCCTCTATAAATACGGAGATTAATTTCTGTATTATTTATCAGCAAAATAGGGAGTGAATCACTTATGATGTCTTTGGAGGACGTCTCAATGTTAACTTCTATATTTTTTCAAAAATATTTTTAGATTTTTTAAAAGATGTTTTTTCATCACTAAGGCTGGAATGAACAATATCAATGTTTTTTCAAAATTGAATCTATTTTTAAGTTGGTCCGATTTGACTATTGATATGATGTCTCTCATAATCGATTTATTCACTCTTAACATTTTATAATTGACAAAAGATGTTTTGAGTTATGGTCAATTGTATGTGATAATTTCTAAGATTAAAATTAAACAGAATCTTAAAATTTTAATTCATGATAAAGATAAATTATCTATGACTACTACATCTAATGTTGTGTACAAGCAAATTTTTTATAATTTTTAATGATAATTCTTCATATCTTAAAATACAAGTGTGATTTAACGGAATGAATGTGGATGTATACTTTTTTTCTAAAAGAAAAATTACCATTTGAATATTTGGTTTAAACCAAAAATGAATTACGTGAGTCGAGACAGTTACTATGTCGAGCACACGTTCTCATTATCTTAACTTAACTTTATAATTGTTGTTGTCTTGTGTTGCGTAGGTTATTTCCTCTTTTATTCGCTGTCTTTCTGTCGCCATTTGTTTCACAATTTTCTGCAAACTAGTCAAAATCAAAACAACCTTCTTTTGGTCTCTCAACCCTTTTCTCCTTCATCACTCTCTCTACGACTTCACTTTCAATCCCTAAAAAGCTTCCTCTTTTCAACTCATATGCTTCTGGGTATATCTCTCTTCCTCCTTTATCAAACCTTTTTTTAATTATTATTAACTGTGTGCTTTTTTGAAATTGAAATTATTTGAATTGGGTTAATAGAACCTTTCCATTTCCTGGATTGGATAAGTAGTTTATTATTCCAAGTTCTCATGTATTGTAGTTCTGAACTTATAGTACTTTTAAATGTTAGGTCACATAAATGTTACTTAGTAATGTCTTTGATTTTTGTAGTATTAATGACAGTTTCAATATCGTTCATTGTTTTACAGACCTTGATGTTCTGAACGATTACTGGTTGTGTCGTTGACGATATATATAACTCTTGGAAGAAATATCTGCCAGAAACTTTCTAGTTGGTGATAGTAAAATGCAGTTATATCATCATCCGTTTGATTTGGACAGCCAGAAGGTGAGACTTGCATTAGAAGAAAAGGGAATTGATTATACATCTTTCCATGCCAACCCTATAACTGGCAAGAACTTGGATTCCACACTCTTCCAGATGAATCCCAGCGGAAGCCTCCCTGTTTTCCAAAATGGATCTCACATCATTTATAAGACTATTGATATAATTCAGTATGTTCCCTTCAAACCTTCTTCATTGTTATCTCATCACTGCTTTGAATAGATGTTTATAATTTCAGAAACTTCATTTTGAAGATTCATGCAGCATTAGAGGTTAACCAAAGAGTTTTTTTTTTTCTTTTCATATCAGCTATAAGATGTTTTCAAAAGCTATTCTAGAGATAGTGTCAAAGGCGTTTATGGCAGTAGATAATCTCAAATAAGCTAATTTAAGAAGACTCTAAGAATCAAATGTTGAATTTGAGTATATGTTTTAAATGCTTCTGTTAGAAACGGGCGTTTTATAGGGTCGTTGATTTTCAGGTACATTGAAAGAATTGCTGTGGTCTCCGCAGGGTCTGAGGATATCAGTAGCAATAGGAAGGAAGTGATTGAATGGATGCAGAAGATACAAGAATGGAATCCTAAATATTTTTCCCTCTCTCATATACCAGACAAACACCTAGTTTATGTTTCCAAGTTCATAAGGCGTGTGGTGATAGCTCGTATGTCGGAGTCCCCTGAATTAGCAGGTGCATACCATAGGAAGTTAAGAGAAGCCTATCAAACCGACGAAAAATTGAAAGACCCTGATGTTTTGAGAAGGAGCGAGGAGCATTTGGTTAGACTACTTGATGAAGCCGAAAGACAACTGAGTGAAACACCTTATTTGGCAGGCGAAGAGTTTACAATGGCCGATGTGATGCTCATTCCGGTTTTGGCTCGTTTGAAACTCTTGGATTTAGAGAATGAGTACATAACAGGGAGGCCAAATATTGCTGAGTATTGGATTTTGGTTCAGCAGAGGCCTAGTTACAAAAAGGTGATTGGTAAGCATTTTGATGGTTGGAGAAAGCACAAAACATTGTTCAAAACTTGGTGCTTTGTTCGAATTAGAAGTTTGCTTAAGCGGTACTAGTGAAGTACGTATATAAACCCGTGGTTGTTAAAAAATATGGTTGAATAAGTAAATACATCAAAGAACTTCTTCTGTGTTGTAGATAAGGAAGGTTTCTGAGAAACCATTATCTATCTTTTTGTTTTCCTTGAAATAGAAGGGGGATCCCTTTTTCTTTCTCCCTTATCCTTTGGTAATGTTAGGTACTGAGGTTGAAGTTGTTCTAGAATGAGATAAGAGGAAAATCAAAGTGTGCATGTTATATTAGTCCTTTGTCTCCAAAAAGAAAAGAAGGGGCAAATTTGTGTGTATTTAATCAATTAGCAATTTCTATGCAATGTGTATATTGATATTGGAACAATGCCTTCCTGTAAGGATTGCTGTTGTTATGTCTGACACTAGTTTTGGTTTGTGTAACACTATTAAAAAGCTAAAAAATCAAATGGATCAAGAAAGTAAGGATGGTGATATAATTTCACATGTGACCATGAATGCATGAAATTTGTCTATTTCTCTCGTAAGTTTTTTAAGTCTCATGTGACAGAATTTGTAACATAGAATACCTATATGTATTGACTACAGAAGGTTGCAATAACAAATCAATGAACACTTATCTATTACTGAGGCCTTTACAAAGCTATCAGTCTGTGTACATACATATACATAGATAATCTGCAAACAAGGCATCGATTATCAATTTTCTTTGGAAGCTGAAAATATGGTCCCTTCACTCTTCTCCACTATTGATACGGATATTATATCCAATGTTGTATATTCATGAAGGGTGACCCTTGAAAATGGTGCTGAAACACTTTTAATAGTTGAATTCATTGAATGATGTACCTGAGGGATTTATAAAATGGTTAAAACTGCGCATATAATACACCACTTCAAAAGTGGGTGATGCACTAAAAATATCACCTCAAATAATTGGTTCTTGAAAGATCAACTGTCAGATTTAACGAGTAGACCCCGAAAACACATCTTATTAACAAGTGTCCAATAAATGATAAATCAAAAATCAAAAAAGGAAAAGTATTAATTGAAAAAAGAATATTATATGCAAGTGAACTAAATGTTAATGTCACCATGTAGATTCACTAGAGTCAAGAAGAAAGACTTCATAGCTCAAAAAAAGACTTCAAAGCTCCAAAAAATGCTATCCCCTTTCTACGTGGTAATTCACATCCTCGGCAATTAGATCACCCTTCATTGGCATTTAAAACTGGGCAATCAAATTCAGCCAAACCTAAGAGTTGAGAAGGCAAAACCCAAAAAGATGTCAACAATGTAACTGCCACAATAAAGCTGAAACATTTCATCCTAATTATAGTCACAGCTATAATTTTGAATCTTTTGGAATAACTTTTGCATGCATGCAAATTTTACATATATAGTAATAAATGAATTGATAGTAATAAATGAATTGATACAAGATAGAAATAACTGATCTGATTTCAAATGATAAATCAGACAGAGGTATTTGTAGCAAGAGAGTGAATGAGCAAAAGGAGAGTCACAGGTTTGACATTTTTTGAGAGAATTATGCAAGTCCATAGAAACACCTACCTCTTGAAGTCTGGGGGAGATCAGTATCCAAAAGAGCAGGAGTCTCTAGGTACAGTCCAGAAAGTGGGGAGTAGTATGGTTCAAACAAGTTTGCTTTCCTCCACAGACAGACATATTTCTAACAACCATTGATATATTATAAATAGAATAATCCATGTCAATAGTTATCAGCCTTATCACAAAATTAGTTCATCATGGACCAAAATTTTCATTTGAACTATACAATGCATCCTATAGAGTGAAGGATGAATGCTGTAATTGAATGAAATTTTCATTGAATAATGGATCCAGGAACAAATGAATTTTCATTGAATAATAGATCCAGAAACAAATGAATTGATCAAACATTAATGTATATAGATAAAAAAAGAAAACAAAAAACAATTTCTTTTTTTCCTGTGAATAGTAATGTTTTTGCTGTTGTGAATACTAATAAATATTATTTTCCACCTGTCTCATCTCTACTGCATCCTCTGAATAACTATTAACTTTTGATTCTTTTGATACATCTCCTACATCTACACTGCACACAACACCACTAGAGTTGTTCCCATTACATTTCCCTGCATTCCTCTTGAACCATGTTCGATGTATTTTTGAATTGTTCCATTTCTGCTGTCTAAAGTAATCCTTTCCCAAATCATTGGAGTCACCCTTCAATCGCTTGGGGTCGTGTTTATCATCCCCGCATTCAAGGTTTGTGTCTTCAGACTTAGCACCAGTTGTGCTGGGAGTCATATCATCTGATTCTGAGCAACAATTAACCAGACCATCAGTTTCCCGTAGCTTAATTTCAGCAGGTTGATCAACTTCCATGCCCTTAGTATTAGAAGGCTGACAGTCTTTGATTTCCCGTGGATGTGGGGGTAATGGAGGAAATGGGTTGAAAGGCACGCCAGGAGCAGTGACCCAACACCCTTTGATTTCAGCATGAGGAGTTCCGTATTGCTGGGCAACATACCATGGCATTCCATATGAAACAGGCAAACGAGAATTGAATTTCTGTTTTGGCTGACCAGTAACCAAACTAGAGGGCCATCCAGAATGACTTGCATTTGACAAAACAGGACCACCAGAGTTTAGTGCACTGTTTAATGACCGGATTGGACATGAAAATCCTGGTGGAATTTCTTCATTAATGCTCTGGCTTTCATTGGTAGAGCCAATAACAGCTTCAGAATATGAATTCGGTTCGGCCGGTTGATCCCATCGGCTTTTGCGCTTGCGTTTTTTCTCCCCTTTGATCTCAACTCCATCCAAAGACAGTGTAGAGCAACTCTCCTGGGCACCAGCATCTACTGAAGTTGAAGTTGTCGCAGGATTTGACTGCTGACCACAATCAATTCCTTCCTTAGGTCTTAATCGCTCTTGCCTATGATTATGAGATACTGAAAATCTGTTACTGTTGAAATTTCTGTGAGATTCCCTATTATCATCCCTGTCCATATAGCCACGTTTTCTGCTATGTCTTGGAATCCATCTGTCTCGAAAGCTTCGAGCAATTTGATGAACCTACGTGTGCAAACAAGAGTGAAAATATTCAAACCTCTACCCATTAATATATTTTGACTAACAATAGATAAAAAACAGCATATTTTGGGAATTATACACATGACTCGACTAAGCTGAAATCAATATATCAATTTACAATAGGCGGTCATGGCGATACCTGTTTGTCATCGTGCTCTGTCAGAGACAGCATTGATTCCCTAAAACTGAACATGAAACCAACTGTTAGTAAAAGAATAGAAACTTAAGAGAGAAACAAAATTGTCTCAATTGAGTTACACCAAAGATAATAGTGTAATGAATTTGCAGGGAGAAATCATTAGAAACTGTCTCATATCATGGAATAGGAAACACTAAAGTAACACATGTCATGCTTCTAAGCACTTAAAAAACATGTATTTGTAGTTTGTGTCAATCATAATATAGCCCAATTGCCCAAACAAAATAGGCAATGGAGAAAAAGTCAAATTTAAAACTGTTAACTGATTCAGCAAATTTTTGAATTGCTTTAATAAATTTGAGAAGGACAAAATTTGAAATTTCCTGACCTCTCCATTCCACGACAAGGAGGGCCACTCTTGATATGTTCCGGTGTCAAAACCTTGCCTGCTGCCAGGTACTCTAAGACCTGTAAAAGAAAATTGTTTAGGCGCATGCTCTATAATCTCTTAATCCTCCATTTAGAGGTAAAAGAAAGGAAAACAAAAAAAAATTATTAGGATCTACCAGCCAGCTATCAACATAGTGAAGAGTATAAGATGATGGTCAAAGATATGCCCAAAATGAATATTTACCATATTTTAATATTAAAAATGAATGACTAAGGAGATTAGCTTACATCTAAAATGATAGAAAAAATGCATAAACATCACACAAATATCAAAATATGGGCATTGAACCAAAGTACAAAATGTATGCTAGCTTTAAGTGTCCATTTCAAACAGCATCGTACAAATTCATAAAGAGTGAATATAACACAAATTATATTCAGAAAGACAATGACAAAGTCCCCATAAATATCATTCCCAGCCACTCCGCAAACTCCCCAATTTAGTAGGCATTAAGAAAGGCACACGCCGAATTAGATGAAACTACACATCATATCACAAGGGTTTATAAAATTAGAAGCTTAACTACACTGCTTGGAGCACTTATCTCTAAAAAATTAACGAAACAAATGTATAGTAGTGTTGTCCCTGTATCTCACCTTAGAACCAAAGTGACCCCATACAAATAATGTCTATTATGAAATTTTATGTGAGGATAGAAAACATGACAGTTGAAATTCACAACACAGACTTTACTAGAGAGTTATACCATAGACAACTTTTGATTCAACAGTGCAGCACAATTATTTGAAATGGAGGGACGTACACGTAATCCTAGGGGTTGTTTGGTTCAACGGGAGGAGGAGAGAGGATGGAAGGAGAGTGTAGCGGAGGGATTTATGGGATGTACACGTAATCCTAGGGTTTGTTTGGTTCATAGGGGGGAGAGAGGAGGGAAGGAGAGCGTAGCGGAGGGATTTGTGTTATGTGGAGGGATTTATGTTATGTTTGGCTCAATGAGGTGAAAGGAGAGATTTTAATGAGGGAAAGTGTAAATTTACTTTTTTCAACTTTCAAATATTAAAAGTCACACTAAAAGGACACTTAAGTCAAAATTTTAAGCAGGTTCTCCTCTCTTAAGTCCCCCAGTTTTTAGAGGGGAGTTAAAATTGGACCAGGAGAGATATTGCTCCCCTCCCCTCCTCTAACTTCCCAAAACTTGAATCAAGCAATAAATATTTAAAATAATCCTCACTCTCTCTTAGGAACAAAAATAGGAGTAGATTCCCATCTAAGTACCTTAAGAAGCTTTCGAAGTATTGGAATTTTTTTAAAGTCTTGCCTGTACTGCTTCAAGATCTTATGCAACATCTGTAAACCTGAAAGCCAATACTTTAGTTAATTTACAACACAGCCAAAGGTGTGATGGGTCTCATACTCCTGATAAATGGAAGAAAGTCTTCATTAAATGCAAAACAAATATATATTACCATTTTTACAAATTACATCATTCAGCACGGCTCTAGATTTTGTTTTCAGAAGAGCGTCAAGGATCATGGAAAGATCTCGATTGCTGCAACAAAAAAGATTTATTTTCTTTTAGTGATTATGTAGATGTCCTTAAACATTGAACAAGTCTATAATTAGTGTGTTTAACTAAATATGCTTAATGAAGGAAGAGTAAACTAATTAAGAGGAAAAAGGAAAAGAGATGACCTCTGAATTGCTTCACCATTAATTCTATCACCTGAAGCTACGGTGAGAAGCAAAAGTTTCAAGTAGCCTTTGGTGGCATCCTGTGACAAGAAAGGGGTGGGGTGAGTCAAATGGTGCTAACTGAGAAACCATAAAACTGGCCAGGTAACAAGCCCAATAATACCTCCTCTAATAAGGCATCAAGAAACAAAATTGAAGGGAATATGACAAAAGACACGAACTATTTCTCATAATTGATTATACAACAAACGTAAAATTGAAATACTACAGCAGTAAGGTAGAAGTTTCTTGCTTTGTTACAGAACATAGATATGAACTGCAAGAAAGCACACCAGAACCTGCATCATTGACAAGCTTCTAAATAAATAAAGTACTTACTTTTCTTTTGCTTATTCCCCCATTTCCATCCAGCAACTCATTAAGTTTCCCCTGAACTGCAGTTAAGGAAAAGGTTTATCCATTATAACCTGCTTAAATAACCATGTTGCCATACTAATTAAGGATGACAAACCTGCTTCAAACCGTGCATTGGAAGAACCTTCGACTATTTTTTTGTGTTTGATAGATGACACTGGCAATCGATTGACTGTCACCTCAGCTGTAAGGGCATTTGCAGCATTAGCACTGACTTTAGCCTTTTTACCAGAAGCACTTCTTTGAGGAGTTTTCACAGGCAGATGTGATTGTGAAAAACCATTTCTGCCTTCAACCATTTCAAACTTGGATTTTCTACTATCAGTAGAATTCGACAACACTTCGCTGACAGCTGGCATGGGTTTGCTTGTTGTATCCTCCATTTGTTGAGACATTTCTTCTATTCGATCAGAAGATGGTAAACTGCCTTTTGAGTCTTCCACTTCAACTGAACTGTGCAACAGGGAAACAGCAGAGGCATGGTTCATAGAACTATCTTTCTCCGGAGAACCATCTGCATATATAGCAGTTGTAGACTTGTCCAATACATCCATGTCTGTTAATAAATGCCTAGAAGACACTGTATCAACATTATCATAGTACTTGGGCATAGGTGTGCTGTTCTCAACTTCACCATTTTCAGTGAGCATCAATGGTTCTGGAAATTCATCATCTGAATCGCCTTGAACTATAAGCCCATCATTAAGTGGATCACCACCGCCTATATAACCTCGACAATGAGGTGACCCACAATAACATTTTTTGGCAGCAGCACCAAAAACCCTTACATAGTTGTAATCAAACGTCAATTCTTCATCCTGGGGAAGGTGGACAAGAAAACATCAGCTTGCCACAGTTATTCTCGCACATGCTTACAGCCAAAGAAAGGAATTAACAGCTAAGTTTCATATTCCAAATTCATAAGCTAAGAAAACCCTTGTAGATCTATTTCATTAACTGCATGAATTGTTCTATACCTAACAAGGTTCACAAATGATTATGGATTGGAAACAAATTTACATATATCTACAAATATGGTTAATCTAAGCATGAAGCGGACACTTATCTCTCTCTCACTCTCGCAAATTAAAAAAAATAGAAGTAAAAAAGGAGAAATCATAATCAGGGTACTAAATAGCATTGGCCAGGACAAGTAAGAAACAAAATATATATGAAATTTCTGGTAAGAATGGAATGTTCAAACAACTTGACTTTACAAAACTACAGGCATAAAAGAGAAAGTGCAACAAGCATTGATCAAAGCCTTTCTCAATTCAATTAAGCATTTTTGTGGAACAAGTTTGGCTCACCTGACCAAACATTCATATTATTTCACAGGTAGAGAGGTGCAAAATTTAATTGTTTTCGGACTCAACAACTTAAAAACTTAAAAACAACAGAGGTTGAAAGCACAAAATTTAAAAACAATCACAGACTCAACAACTTAAAAACAACAGCAAAAAAATTCAAAAATACAAAGCTTCAAAATTTAATGGAATTAACCAAGCACTATTCATGAAAGTAATATCAGAGGTTGAAAGCACACCTGCTTGATATGCCGCAATGCAAACAATCCAATACAGATTTCCCCATTCACCATCCACTGTTGAAAAAAGATGTAAATCAATGTCAATTGACGTGTAAACAGGAGAATCCTGAATTTCATGGTCCAGACACTGTACAAAACTACATTAAGGATATATTCTGGAAAAATACATCCATATTGCCCATTATGAGCTAGGAAAGAACCCAAGATGATGACAGTGATCACAGTACAGCAATGCATATGTTAAAATTCCATATAGACTTATACGCTAATATAGCATGAATATAGGTTCCAATGAAACTGCAAAGAGAACTAAGCTTCTCAAATACGACATTTTTTTCTTCCTAGAAAACAACAAAAAAGCTAGAGATAATAATATACTCACCTTTTCTGTCCGACAGTTAGGATCACAACTATGATTAATGAAACGCCCCAAATTTCCTTTTGCACTTGCATCTATCACCTGTAAATAAAGAGATGTGAATTGAAAAATAGAAGTAACAAATTAAAGATTTCTTAGATAAAAAACAAATGAAGTTGTTTCAAGTTAAGTATGCAGATGTAGGATAAAGTGATACCTCACTGCCGTTCAAGGTCATAAAATAGAAATGCCTATGACCCTTCAAAGCATACTCTTTTTGACGTGCCTCATATGCATGTGTGTCAAGGACCTGTTTGAAACATGAATCAGATATTATGAATACAAAGGTCAATGATTAGCACGAGCTATGCATCATCAATGCATGTATAAATAAACTTATTGCATGATATCCCTGCGTAGAAGAGCAAGACAAACGCTAACTCTATTAGTCATAACAATGTATCATAAATAAATAAACATGAATTCACTCCGCAAAGAATACTCCCTCCCGGTCTTTCCTTACAAGAAAAATACACACAGTTAAACATAAGCTATTCTTTGGCCCTAGCCTAGATACACAGGCTATCAGATTAGGTTAAACTGATTTTAAGTAGATCAACCCCATCTTAGCTATATCTATTGCTAATACTTGTAATATTTTAATTTCAATACAAATGTGTTATTTGTATATAATCCAAGCCCAAAAGCCTTTCACATCTGTGACTGCATTAGGGATCAATACAATATTCTCTGGCCACACTATTCAACCAAAATTTGTAATGGCTCTTCACCACTACTTAAAGAAGAAATCCAATAGCTCAAAAAAATTGGCAATAACATCCCTTCTTAATCCCAGTGAAGAATATCATATCAGTAGTGGTTAACCCAAACTAAACTAGCACGCTCCCAACTAATTGCTAATATGATTCAGTTGATCAGCAACATGAAGTCACATTTTTTCCAGCGCCAAAAAGAATTATTCAGGAGGATGAGGATTAACAACAACATCGAAGGAGGAAAGAAAGAAATGAGGGAGAGGAAAGTGGAGCAATATAATTATAACTTGACTTTTACCTATGACTTTGTTAAAGATAATGTTAATTCTTCCTTCCCCTAAATTTCCAGCTAAAAAATAACCAAACCACAAATGACCAATGAGTTTAAGATTATGAGGTTCGGCCTTACAAGTCAATCTTTGGTACATCAAAATAAAATAATATGTAAAATCATTACATCAGTGTAGAGATAACAGAAAGGAAGAATAATATTGTCAAAGTCACCTCTCCAACGTATTCAATAATAAAGTGGCCTTTGGCTACCCGCTCAAGTGCCTTCAGTCCATAACCTTTTTTCCCACATTTAAACCACTTCAGTCTGGAATACTTGCGATTTTGGAACTGAAATTGAACATTTAAAATCACAATCATGCTCTTTGGCAAGGCCTGATACAAGTATATTTTAGAGGGAAAATGTTTAGTTTAGAAACCTGCTGATTAGAACAACGGTCCCCGCATGGGCAAGTTCCTGGCACACATTCAATGTTAAGCACCCGGTTTAGACATTCATCCCCACATCCCAACTTGCCTTCTGGAGGTGGCTTGCAATGGCAAACCATTACCTACAAGTTCAGAGGTACAATCAATAGTCTATATAAAATTGATGCGCAAATTTGCAAATTCAGAAAGCTTAATTGAAGCTTATGAGATATCCTGCATGACTGTATGTATAAATCTTAAACAAAATGTAAAATTAAAGCTATCGGCAACTAATGTGAGCAAAATAAGAAAGCCCCATATATGTAATAATTAAATTACTTATTCAGAGCATACAATTCCTCCTCATATATAATGGAGGGCCAATAATCCATTCCATTCTCTGCAATGCACATCCATTATCCTATTGTACACGAGTCCAAAAGAATTCAGGAATATTAAAGTGTATGCTCGTTCTATAATTATTAAAAGAGAGGAAACTTAAAACTACTGTTAAAAGGAGAGAAACTTGGAAGAAAGGAAGAGAAGAATACAAAAAGAATGCACATGTAAATAAAAAATAAAAAACATCTGCTCATCTAAGGAGCAATGAAACTTGACCAGTTTTGACATTTAAGTGCATACTACTTATGTCACATATAAGCAAATTAACAGATTGCATACTAATTAAGAATGTTAATTAACAATTTAACTTCCCTTAATTGTATTGGTATAACCAAAAACATAAGTGAATTCTTGAAACTACGAGCATTAGCTAAAGGATATTTGGAACGTCATCATATTAAATATGATGAAGTGAGGAATTTGAGTAGATCTGAGATCAAAAATGGCTTTTATTACTAATATTTGAGTTCGCAGAGAGTACATCAGCATGATCATATGTATGCTAAAACCTATTTTGAACTCAATCAATAACGGAATATGATGATTACATGTAACAAACAAAAAGTTAGAACAATCTATGACCTCGTCAATAGTCTGAGTTTTCGGTTTGCGGTGCAGAAACTCGTTGGTGGAAATGTGGGTGAAAGATGACCCTTGGGAAACTGCAATGCAAAAAGCAACATGTGTATCAGACAGCAAGGAAGATTAGATGACATTTCTAAGAGGCTAGAATAGTTTTGTTTCAATGCAAGTTCTGTTAAGAAATAATAATAATAATAATAATAATAATAATAATAATAATAATAATAATAATAATAACAACACTTTCTAGCTAATACCACACACCCATTGGTAGTCGATATTCCAATTCCTTATAATTTTTGGAGTCGTCTCGTACATCTTCTTCACCAGATGCATATGATAATCCTAATTCTGCATTAATCTCTGCATTTGATTTTTCTTGAGGAATAGCACAGTCAGCAAAAGCTTTATCACCGCTGTCTTTGCAAGTCCTTCAAAAGAAAATCACCCGTGACAAGAACAAGTTAATAAATTAAAAATTGGGAATAACATGTAAAAACTATTTACCTTATGTACCTCTATATGTAAAAACAAGTTAACTGCAAATACCAATCAAGACCTGTATGATTAAGAATTGTAATTGAAACCCATATTGGGACAAATCCCAAGACCCGCATTGGATAGAGATAAGGACTAAAATGAGTTTATTAAAAGTGGCATCCCACCTTACAAGTTGATTTTGCAAGGATGAGTTATGCCTAATATAAAACCTAATATGGTATCGCAGTCAATCGATCAAGCCACCAACCATTTATATCTAAGCAAAAAGCCCAATAGGGTTGAGCGAGAGGGGGTGTATTAGGAAAAATCCCAAGTCCTGCATTAAATACCAATAAGGTATAAAATGAGTTTATAAAGAGTGGTCTCACTCACCTTACAAGCCGAATTCATAAGGATGGGCAAGGCCCAATATAAAACCAATAACCCATACATCAATTGATGTTCCATAGTCAATTAGTTAGAAGCACAAGTTACATGAAAAACATTTGTTTTTAAACTAATCGTATCATAAAAAATATATGTCTATATCGTATTCTTTCTCTTCAGCTTCTATTCAAGAATTACAAAAAATTGGCAATGGGTAATAACTAATATGAAAGGAACATTGTATACCAGGTGCAGTTAGTTTCATCAATCCGGTCTGCAAGCAGAGCTGGAATACGCCGCCACTTGTGGCAATCATCACAACTCACCCATGCATTACGCGGTGACTGAGGTTGTTCTCCCAAACCCGAACCAGGCATGATGTCTGCATTGACTGATACTCTGCTGTTGTCACTGGGATTAATTTTTACAACGGCGCCCAACTTATGATTTCCATCTACATCTGCTGACATGACACGAAAAACATTTATTTGCAAGCAACATGTGAGATTAAGAAATAACAACACTAGAAAGCAACACTTAGACGGTCAAAAAGGAAACAAGGAACATCATCGAACGTTTTTTTTAAAAAGGAACAACAAAGATGATTCCAAATGCAAGAATAATATCAGATTATGGTGCAGGCTATCTGAAAATATAAAATTACCTGGATGAGGGCAATCTTCCACTTCATGTGTAACTTTGAGAGAGAGACCCTTTCCCTTGACTTCACTTTTGTTAACTGGCTCTTTCTGTTTCTCCTTGCGTCTAGTAGTAGTCTTTTTCCTGCTTGTCAAGTCAGAAGCATTGGTTTTTTCCTTGCTAAATTTACTAGTAGGTTCAAGACTTCTAGGTAGTTTACGACCCAAAGGTCTTGTAGAAGACGGCAAATCCTCGGAACCCTGGAATTTAGAAAATTCATGACCACCAGATGTTTCGCCAACTGTCACGTGACTTTTAGCTTTCAAAGCCTTGGCGGAACCTCCAAGTACAGTCTCCCCAGAAAGGGGCAATGATTCTGCAGCCAATTCTTTACTCTTCATAGATTTGCTTAGCTCGGTGGAAGTAGAGAATTCTAGAGAGCTAACCACGTCACTACAGTTCTTATGTCTATGATTCTTTGAATGCATAGCTCCATTATTACCTGGTTGACCATGTGATCCATCCTCGGTGATACAATTGCCTGAACCAATAAGCTTGTCTTTCTTCTTCCCTTTCTTCCGGAAGGTAACATCCAAATTAGAATTTAACTCGTTAGAAGAACCTAACACATCAAGATGTACATCTTCATGTCTTTCTCCAGCCTGGACTTCAGGAATTGAATCAATAACTTCTGAATCGGGTGATGTTCCAGGATCTACAGCTGAATTATTAATTGGCTTAACTAACGCTTCAACCACTGTCTCTGGAGGAACTGCGTGACATGGTTCCTCTGCATCCCCTTCTGACTTCTCTGTTATTTTAGAATTTTCTAATTGGCTATTTACAGTGTGTCCATTTAGAACCACAGGATCCTTGTCTGGGTCTTTTCTGAATGATTCTATACTGTTTAATGCCAACACTACAGAAAGTTTATCTGCAGAATTGCTGGTTACTTTCTGAGAACCTGAATCAGGCCCCTTGTAGGAAGCAGAAGCCGCCGGTAAATCATTTTCTTTTCCAAACTTGATCTTCAGACGAAAACGAGTAGTTGAAGTTGAAACATTATCCTTTGGAATTGAACTTAATGAGCTAGAAATTGTATCATTCTTAGTTGTTTTCCCACCTTGACAGTTGTTTCTAGCCTTTCCAACATCCTGGCACATGGCTTCATTAACATCAAGCTCATTTTCATACTGAAAAAACTGTTCAACATTCCCCAGCAATCCCCAGGCAGATGATCTAGCTGGTTTGGATAAACAACTTCTTTTCTTCCTAACAGCCTCTAAATTTAACTTCATACCCCCGCTTGAATGTGTTGCACTGGCTTTGTTTGTGGATTTTCTAGAAGCCTTTCTGGTTTGTGTATTACGACCAAATTTGGTTGTTTGACTGTTACTTTGAGAAGGTAACAGTGTGCTTTCAGTGATATAATCAACTTCAACAGCTTCTTGTCCATCATTATTTGTCTGTCCAGGATTGTCTACAGGACAAGTATCCTTGATGGAAACACTGTTACCCTTGGAAAGAAGATCTGGCACATCCTTTGGAGAGGTACTGGTGATTAAAACAGAAGAGGACTGGCCTGATTCTGGATAAAATGATTCCTGAATGGTAGAGTTACCAGTTCCATCTGCAGAACTATCCTTCAATACGCAGAAATTATCTTCTATTTGCAATATGCCATTCTTCAATTCACTCCCTGGATCCAACAAGGCAGGCTGACATAGTGAATCAACTACGGGTGAATTCCTCAAGTTGTTACGAAAATCAGGTGAGGGTGATGATTTTACATGTGAATCATCAGTGATTTCTTTAACAACAGTGGCTCTTATCTTTTCTTCGCAGGCACTGTCACAATCCACACCATCTTTTTGATCGTGCAGCTTATCACTTGTGCTTTCTAGTTTTGTGTCTATAAGTAAAGCACCTGACGGCACTTCTTCCACGTCCAACGAAGAAGATATCTGCCAGCAATTGGCTTCCATCCCATTTCTCATAAGCCCCTCTGGCTCATTTTTCTGGATGCAATCAACTAGCCAATCTCTCATGAAATCCGACTCAAGGGAAACGTCAGAATGACCGGTGCCAAGCACACAGCTGACAGCCCTTGCTATCAAATCAGCACCATCATCCTTGTCTTCCACAACTTCCGAATTATCTCCTGCCATCGATAAAACAACGCTCTTCTCATCCTTCTGCTCACCCTGTTCACCACAATCCGTCTGCAAATCATTTGGCAGGTCGACCTTACCTTCATCTTTAAAATTTCCCTCCGAGTGCAATCCATCACTTATAAAATCAGAAACGTCAATATCCTCAGAACAAACCCCCAAACTATTCCGACAACCATCTTCAGCACCTATCTCCAATTGTAATAAATCATCAATCTCACATTCATTTCTCAAACCATCTCCAGACTCCTCAGTATTAACAACATCAACAAAGCTTCCAGAACAACCTACACCACCCTCCCCAATAAAACCATCCCCCATACCATCAAGGTCTAAAACATTACAAGGATCATCCAAACACGACTCCGGTAACCCCGAGTTCAACGGCTGCTGCTGCTCAATTACAGACAATCCAACAGGATCAGCAACAATTGCAGGTTCACCACAAGAGCCCATTCCAAACACAAACAAATCGTTCAAAAATCTACTTCACTCTATGATTAACAAAAACAACAATCACCACCTGAGGTAGCAGAATGCACCAGCTCGAAGAATTAACACTACCTGCACATGAAAATCATAGCACATAATGAAAACCCTAGAAAGTTGCATCATCATTCTGAAACCTCTGCAAGCAAAATAAAAATAAAATAAAATAAAAATAAAAACCCTAATAATGCCAACGATAACAATACTAATAATAATTTAGGGAAATTAAAATTGAAGTAAGAAAATTGAAGAGGGAAATTGTTGAAGATATATACCGGGTGAAGATTCACGAGATTGAGGATAATGAAGAATGAAAAATAAAAAATAAAAATTTAAGAATAAAAATATGATTCTTTTCCCTCTGGTCGAGGAGAGAGTTGAGTCTCCGTCGCGCGCAAAGGGTTACTTGAGAGAGATGGTTGGTGTGGTGACTTCAACGAAAACTAAATTATTGAAAAACAATAACAGGAAAAAAAGAAAAATAGGGTTTCCGAGATTTGTATCAGACCGGTGTACCTTTCTGCCATTTTTTGTTATTTTATATTTTTAGTTTGATTATAATTACTTTTTATTTTATTTTTAATTAGATCTTTTTTTTAGAAAATTTTATGTTAATTTAGAAATACACTTTTTTTCCTCTCAATTTGTTACTCTTATTTTTTAATCTTTGTCACTTTTTCTCCCACTTTCTTATCTTTATATTTATTTTATCAACGAAACATAAATAAATAATATAAAATAATTGTTGTTGTCAATTTAATTAATAAAAATATTTTTATTTTTATTTAAAAGAGTTGTGCTATCTTATATTTAAAGATTTAAATTTTTAAAAATATTAATTTATCATTAAACAATAATACAATTTTTTAATTTTTTAAGTAAAATATATGAATTTTAAAATAAATATTATATTGAAATATATTTTTGAGTAAAAATCTATAATATAAGAAGATTCAATGTCCTAGAAAATTCTATTACGTCCCTCCTTGTCATTTTGCCACATCTACATTTATGTGGTAAATATTGTTCAATTTACTCAAAAGAAAATTGAATTGTTTTCTTTGTTCAATATCCGTCCTCACTTATATTTCTTATTCATCTTTTTAGTCTATTATTGTCATAAATATTTTTTTACTATGTTGATTCCAACTCAAAACTAAAGTGTATATTAAATGGTAGTGTTATATTTGTAAAGGACTTGATTAGGACGGTGACCAAAAGGCGTCCCCTAAAAAAGCAATGATCATATGTCGCCCTCGAAGAAGTATCGACTCACCTCCCAAATACTTTTTTATCGTCCAGTCGTGGGAAACATGCGATAAGACGTTTCTTGGGTAGAGAGAATTATGGGTCAGTGACTGACCAACGTTTCCTTGGAGATAGGGATTCAATAGTCCATAATTCACTACAAGGGCGGTGATCTTTTCCAAGGAAACCTTATACTCAAATCCTTTATAAATACCTCTCCCATAATAGAGAATGACATATTCTAATTTATACACTTATACCCAAGTGCTCAACACATATTCAGAGCCTCTCACCTAAGCTGAGCAGGCCCTCTAAACCACTATAAACACCATCATACATGGCTTATCACCGTCTTGACCAAGCCCTAACCACCATTATTCGTTATACAAAATAGGGCTTTGAGTTCCCCTGTTATTGTAGGGGTAACATGCATACATATACTTTTTTACCAATAATGTGGCGCCCATCGTGGGGCCTTAGTAAAACTAATATATGTCATACCTCTTTCGTTCTAACTTCTTCCATCTTCTCTCTAAAGATGGTCGATAAGACTCTATGTTCCAACACAAACACCATAGTTGGAGGTTTCGCTGGTGGAGATAGCTCTAGCTCCTCCCGAAGGAAATATGCAAGGCATGTTCTTGCAACAAATGCAATATCTCTATACTTTCCGAGGGGCGCAGGATGAAAAACAAGGGTTAAGATGACCTTTTATGAGGAGGGTAACATCAAAGTCAATCCTCATGATAATGACTCCCTGGTCATCATTGAGCAACATAGAAACTGGGATATCAAGAAACTCATAATAGACCCGGGTAACTCTGCTAACACCCTATTTTGGGACACCTTCCAAAAATTATAGCTCAATCCTAACGACGTCAAAATTTGCAGTGACTCGTTAACATGTTTGTCATGCGAACAGGTACGAGTAACGGGCCATGTGACCCCATAGACTACATGTAGAGAGGGTTAAAAAGCTAAGGCGATTGATGTCAGATATCTTATTATGGACGCCATGTCGCCATATAACATCATCCTTGGGCCACTCGCCATCAACGCACTATGAGCAGTCATTTCCACCATGTACTTAGTCTTAAAGTATCTTCTGCTTGGAGGGCGAGTTTGTACAATCAGGGGAGACCAACAGATTGCTCAAGAGTGTTACTAAATTAGCCTGGCGATAGAAAGGGAAGAGCTCGCCTTTGTTGGTGCCCCCTTTCTGAAGTTCCAAATACTAACCTTGAGTGTTGGGATCCTAGATTAAGTGTGGAAGCTAAAAGGCTCACTCCCACTAAAGACTTAAAGGAAGTCCAAATAGGCATGTTCACCCATCAGGTCACGAAGATAGGTGATGTAGCCCAACCACAAGTGAATGATTGTGTTAAGTAGTATAATAAGATCGAACCCACAGGGAGATGTGTGTGAGTACCGAATTTTACCCTAATGGTGTTTAACTAAAACGATCATAATATTGGTTTGTTTAGTGCAAATTGAAAAGTTTAACAGATAAATAAAGCAAGATATATGATTGTGATCATCTATCATGATTTATCCTATTGATCATTTGAATTCGAATATGAGAATATCTAAGTGATTTATAGAAAAATAGATAAATATGTGTGACACCCATATTTGTGGCGTGTGCATCTAGACATGTTTCTCAATAAGGCTAAGTGACTTTCTCAATAAAGATAGCCACCTTGTCACAGAAGGTGCCTCGTTACTCTATTGTCTAGCAATTTACGGTATGATATCGACTGATATCCTTTTGGAGTGTGATCATATTTGGGTTGCCTTTGCTTTCACAACAGACACAAATATTTTTAAGAGCTCGAATTCTAAAATAAAAATACTAAGGTTCTCGTAATTCATATTCAGATAATCAATTAGGAATTGTAATGAGATAGACTCTCATGACCCATTGTCTTTATGGAACTACTGATTCATTGTGTGGCAAACAACAATTAGTCAATTGAAAGACATAGCATGCAAGTAAGTAAAGTAATATAAATAACCTGAATTAAAGCAAACTTGACTAAATAAAAGAAAAGCACTGACCTACAACAATATTGCAGAGAAATAAAATGAGAGCAGAACACAAAAGTTGGAAATTATGACGTAGAAGTAACAAGTGATTGGTGATCGTTTGATTGAAGCTCAAGTGCTTATTTATTCTAAATTAGTCATAAATTACTCATAATCATCAATTATTTCATGTTAAGTCATAAAAATACACTGACATAAAGTCTTGGAATGATATGGATGCTCAAAAGTCACAAAAAGGCTAGAAAAAACTCAGAGAATTCATAATTATCTAGGAAGCAACATGGTATGTGTCAGGGGACACAGTCATCCAGTGTTGCCCCCGACTTCCTCATATGGAAGTTATAGCAAATTCCAATACGAACCGTGTCAGGTGACACGACCAGACCATGTTGGCCATGAGTATTTTGTATGGTGAAAGTTCTTTTTTGCTAGATCTTTAGCCTTTTCGTTCCAGTTTGATCCATTACTCTCTTATTTCCTAAAAACATCAAAAGAACACAAAAGCTCATAAACGAACTAAAACGATAGAAACACACAAGAAAACGGAAAGAAAATAAGCTAGAAATACGATGCAACAATCACTTATCAAATACCCTCAAACTTAAATTGTAGCTTATCCACAAGCAACAAGCTTGCTTAGAAAAAATTAAGACCAAGCAGTTTAGTTCTTCAAATGCTTAAAAGAATGAAATTATTGATACACATATGTGACTCGTTCCAACTGAATAAGATCTAAGTTTCCCCGTACTCACTGATACCAAAAGCATTACAAAAACACAAAATTGTAAAACATACAGACAAAAATTTCCTATTTTGGCCACCTCTTTGGTTGTGCTTTGGACATAAGTATATTTTTCAATTCTCCTTCCCTTTTGCTTAGACAGTCAAATTAAGGCATTTTGAAACAATAATAATAATCACACACACAAGATCGATCGATAAAATTTTTGTTTTTGTAGATGAAATTTGCATACTTTTGTGTGCTTATTTATTGCCTATTTTGGATCGACATTGAGGTTCGACCACCGTTGGACTGAATAATTGAGTAAGGGTTACCCAACTTAGTAGGTATAGTCACCTTTTACCGTCATTTTTCATCTTGTTAATGCTTATATTTTTTCCTCAATCGATCATTCATGACAAGTGAATTAAAAATACGTCAGATTGTCAAAATATACTACTTGAGAGGTTCTTCTCATAATCTGAATATTATAGTATAAAATACACGTCAAACTCGTAGTCTATCCGGGAAATTAAGGGTGCTCAAGTAATATCGATTTATCAATTTCCCATGAGCCTATAGACTTAGCATATCATCCCTTCAATCCTATATTAATTTTATTTAATTTGATTCTAGAGTTTTTTATCTTATTTTATGTTAATTTAATTTAATTTTTTTCTAGAGTTTGAATTTATTTTTCTTTTTTTTTTATAAAGAGAGTTTAACCGAATAAGTACGAAAAGTTTTAAATTATTTATAAAAACATATATACTATTTAGCAAAATAAAAAAATACTTAATATTAAATCAATTATGGGATTAGATGTATACCATATAAGTCAATCACCATTGTTTTGAATGAAAATTGATTTTAGCTTCTAGAAAATTCAATTAAATTCTTAAAAAAATAATAATAATATATTTTAGTCTTTCATGAAATAATTTCAGAATAT